AATGCCTTTTGCCATCAACTGGCTGACGCTCAGTAAGTTGTAGCCGAGTCCCTCCGCGATTAATACCTTTGACATCTGTAGTATAACGTTTGTCTCTCTTGACTGAAGTTGAACCACGCCTTGTCGTCGTGTGCGTAGGTTCTGGTTGTTGGCGACGGTGATGACTACTTCGCGTTGGAGTTGGTACTCTTGCTGCACGAAGCGTCCTGAAGAGCACATGTGCTGTCCGCAGCAACTGTCCAAGAACCAGGTGTCTTTCCCGGATGGCTCGCTCTGGGCGATGGCTGCGTACGTTGGATTCGGTTGAAGTGACTCGCGGCGAGGTGTGGTGTTGTCGAGTTGTTCTTCTGGTGAGTAGTGTGGCGGTAACTCGGTGATGCAGGAGTCTGACAATCTTGCCATGGAGCTGACGATATTTCTTGTTCCTTGTGCAGATTGTGTTGACGGCGATGTCGTTGAGGACTGCAGTTGACTTGTGGGGTTCGCTTGCGTGTAGGCGACTTGACTGCTTGAGGGTCGAAGCTGCCGTTGTGGCGGTGTTGACAGTTGTCGATTCGGGCAGTGTGTGCGCGGGTGTCCTGACGTCTTGCAGAGATGGCAGAACGGAGGTACGGGCTTTGGTTGTTGTCGGTTGTTGTTGTTGTTGTAGCGTCGCTGAGTGTGAAACGCAAATTCGGGTACTGATGCTTTCTTCTTGTGCCGTTCCTCTTGCAGGTCCATGTCTTGTTGCTCGGCGTGTATTTCGGCGCAGAGTGCTGCCTCGGAGATTCTCCCATGAGCTCGGAGAATGGCCTTTGTGGCGCGCCATTGAGGGCCGAGGCCGCCGATGATGACTGTCACGAAGGCGTCTTCAGATATCGACCCTCCGCATCGAAGGAGTTTGTCGCGCAACTCGCGACAGCGGCTGATATACGCTATTCCCTTTTCGCCTAGTTTCATTTCCAGTGTTGTCAACTGCGCCATTAGCCGACTCTGACTAACGCTGTCTGTTGCTTGATACAGGCACTTCAAGTGGCTGTATGCGAGTTCGGCGGAGTTGCCGTATCCCCGGTAAGACCGTATATTCTGCTGCTGGTTCGGGGTGATGTTCCTCAATAGAATCGTATACGCCATCATTGACTGATAGGTGTACTGCTGTTTCTCGTACTGTGTGCCGTTTGTTGGGTATGGCAGGGATCCGTCGAAGAAGCCAAGAATCTGCGCGCCTTCCATCATTAACTCAAACTCGAACAACCAGGTGAAGAAGTCCTTTCCGTCGAAAGGCCTTGACGTGTGAAGTTTTAAGACGTGCGCGAACTGCGACTGAACTTGAAGTGCGTCCAGTGGTTTCTCCTGTCCAGGTACAGGCTGCGGTTATGGCATAAAGCTGACGGAGCCGCGCCGGGGTTCGTACGGAGCAAAGGTAGGTTGCTGCTGTTGATTTCCACGTGCGTAGGATGAACCGTCAAGGCTCATTGGAGTCACGTCGTTGTTGTTGTTGCTGTTGTGTGACTGCGCAGGTACCAATTGCTGGTGTTGCTCGTAGAAGGACATGAAGGAGAAAAACTTCTCCATCATGCTCTGGTCGAAGCCTGTAGGTTGATTTGCAGGAGTCTCAGTGGATGTTGCCCTGGGTCTTGTTGCCGTACCCTCCTCCGTCTGTAGGCCAGAGGCAGGAGGTGGAGTAGGAGTAGTGCCGGGAGAACCAATAGAGGAACTCCTTTCCTTCTGAATAGCCATGTCTTCTGATGTTGTAGGTGTTTTGATAGTTGAATTCCCCCCGATAGCTCTCATACCATGTTGGGCTGAGAAAAGCCCTTAGGATCTTTGCAGGGGTGAACTCTGGGTAGGACTGATGTAATAGCGGAAGCGTTTAATAAAGAGTTGTGAACCACCTTGCGCTAGTATGTGAGGGCAAAGTAGATTGATTAAAGCAAAGAGATACAGGATTATATAAGAGTACAAGGAATACGAAGAGATACGGTTATAACTACTTTACTGTTGCTGTTGCGGTTCGATACAGTGACGACTCGGGCAACTGCTCTGTAGCGAGTCAGTTGTGTGTCCTTGCTGTCGTGCTGTACTTGTCAGGTCAAAGGTCGCTGACCTTTGACTTTCGCGTAACCTCTAGCAACTGCTCAACCTCCGAGGGTTGACTCGCCGGTGATTTGATATACTTCGCTTCGCTTCTGACTTGGTGTTTCGACACGACAGAGGCGTTTAAGCTTGATTGTTTCCAACAACCAATAGCTTGGATTTACCATACCTGATACAGTATGGCTTTGTCCTGTCCAAGACTCCTTTAGTACCGGTACGTGGGTCCTTATGAATCTTTCTTCATGGAAGTTCAAGCTCGCTCACTCACTCTCTCTCTCTCTCTCTCTCTCTCTCTCTCTCTCTCTCTCTCTCTCTCTCTCTCTCTCTCTCCCTCTCTCTCTTCCAATCTTAAGTTACAGGAGGCAGCTGCCAATACTGTACTTCTGACCTGCTGGAAATGCTGCCGGCTATGGCAATTATTGTGAGGTGCCTAGACATTGCCTTGCTTGCTCTGAGCCCCTCCATGAGGTGCACTTGGCAGCAGCTTTTAATGACACATTTCCTTACCGTATCATTGTCTATCCCATCCCATCTCCCCCCTTGCCGCCCTCTCCCTCCCTCCCCCTTTCTCTACTATTCTTCCTATCATACTGTATTTAGTCTTCAACAAGCCGTACATTTGAAGAACCATGCTGTAAGAAGCAAGCCTCAAGAATCAAATTTACATTAACACTGGAGTAATACACACCCTAACAATGCAACATGCATGCACATCGGCAGATCTAATAGCGATCTGTTGTTCGAGCGCCTCCCCACAGCAACGCCTCAGCAGTAGGCACTCTAACAACAGACCCTATAGAAGCTCCTAGGAAGACCTACCTACTGCTACTGCTACTACTACCGGTATCTGCCCTCCTCCTGCCCATCACTCTGCTTCAGCCCTTCCAACGCCCAGCCTTCCTCCTGCACACACACTCTCAGTAACGCCCTCCTATTCGCGTGCATCTTTCACTTCCTGAGGCCGAACGCCCATCCTTTGGGTGCCTTCTGGAACTGACCCCTAGCAGCGCCGGCCTCAAACCCGGGGGAAGCGACGAGAGCATAGAAGGCGCGGGGCTGCGCCACAACCGCCAGCGCCACGTCCTTCACCGTCTGCACGCCGTCCGCAGCAGCCACGGTGGCGGCAGCGCGCCACACGCCCGTGAGAGTGGTGCACGAGTGGTTGACAGGATTAACACAAATCCAAAAAACCGTCGAGTCGCGTGAGTTTTCTTTGGAAATTGGATCCACCAGCAAATGGTTACGCGACACGGGATTGTCAGCTGCGGCGGTTCGTGTGGTATGGAATGTGACGTGAGGAGTTCGACCAGTTTCGAGATTAGTCGGTGCCAGGAGTTCAAATACGGTGTAGCTTCCACTCAACAAGCTCCACGTCAGACCGCCGTGTTCGGCACCGGTTTGAGCGTTCGCGCTTTTGAGAACGGGTTCGTCGGTGGGTTCCGGGTCGGTTGGTATGAGCTGCGAAGGCTTGCGAACTGGGACCCTGATCGGTAGCCCCTAAGCGGAGTAAGGTGTGGGAAACATGTGGAAATTTCGTTGCCTCGTTTTGCTTATAGTGCGTCAGGGTAATTTTAGATGCTCTATCTATTCTCATGATATGTGCCACCTTGTTGGCATTCTCTACCAATCATAGTCGACCTACTACGTAACCAATACACGCTTGACAGCACAGGAGAACTACTTCACACCAAATCCCATGATCCGCTACCCAAATCAACCCATAGTGTTTCTTACTTGGTCCCTCCTGTGTGTCACATACGTATAGTCGTCATTCCTCATACCCTTCGGTTACATATTGTGGATGTTAGCGGCTCCGTTTATACCAGGAACATCTATGTTTGCCTTGTTGCCATTGCCACCCAAGGCTCCAAAGAAATGATGCGATGCGAGTAGCCTACATCAGATGCACCCTCCAGCCATTTTCTCGCCTCCACCCACGTCACCCTCCCTCCTTACAGTCCAACAGGGCAGACCTCAAGATAAATCAGGAGTAGGATTCACGCGAGGGACCAATGCCTTGAAACTGAGGAGCATGATCTCAGTCAGCCGGGACTAGAGGCAACTTCAAAATGCGAGCGGCGACAGTATAGGAATTGCATCGCAGGCGCTTGCGTTCTCACGGCACGCTCACTGTCTTCAGCTCGAGCCTGACTCTTTCTGTCGCTGCGCCGTGTCGCAGCCATGGATTCTCACCGCTATAGAGCCATGCACGTTACCGTGTGGCTCGTCCTAGTGAGCGCGGCCATTCAAGGCCCTCTTCTCGGGGTGCGCGTCGCGGCGGCGTGGTACATTCCGCCGCCCGGCACGTCCTTCTACTGGCAGCTCTCCAGCGCGCAGCCAGGTTGGTTCTCCATCATGGGTCATCGCATATCGTCGCAATCATGTCGGCTCGCCGCAGGCCAGGTGGAGTCGTCACATTTGGTCGCCTGTTCGTCGCATCCTTGTCGCAATCACGCGAGCTCGTACCGCTGCTGATTTTCTCTTATCAGCCCGTAGGTACCTCGGCGTTTCAAGCCATCGGTGTGCGACAATTTGGACCCTGTGGCTCGAGTGTCGCCTTCGCAGACGTCGCGCGCGGAGGGGACTCGACTCGGCGTGCGGCTCTTCCGATTTCTTCCGCTCTGCACCCCGCGACGACGACGACAACTTGTGCACGGCGTGGACATTCCCCTGTCCCGCAAGCCGCGCTCCTCCCTCTTCCTCCGCAGATTCGGTGGACGCGCGACGGTCGACGGCAGATCCGCGATCTGGACTCGTGCGTTAGGTGGGCGCTTAGATGCGCGACGGTCGACGGCGTCGACGGCGGTCTCGGAAGCCGGTGGTTCTCGAGAACTCTCATAAGTCACACCCACTGATTAGATCGAATATTATAGTTTCATCATGTCGCCGATCGCACTTTCAATACATCCAACCCCGCTGCAGGCATGGTGGACACGACCGTGAATGCGCAGGTGTATGACATCGACGGCTTCGGCACGCCCGCAGCGACGATCCGACGGCTGCAGGCGGCGGGGCGCAAGGTGATTTGCTACTTCAGCTTCGGGTCCGCCGAGGACTACCGTGCCGACTACAGCCTGTTCCCGCGCTCCACGCTCGGTGGACTCGTCTGCAACGTGAGTTCCGCGTGGGACGCGAGTGGGATGTGAATGGGACGAGAGGGGGACGCGAGTGGGGCGACGTATTTGGTTGCAACGGGCTTCTTGCTGCAATTACGACGTTGCTGTAGCTCATGTGTATGTGTGTGTGCTGCTGCTGCTTCGGCAAGGAATACTTTCGACTTTGTCCTTTCACCATCTAAGGAACCCGCCGAAACACCACCACATTGAAATCCCCCCCCCCCTTTTGCCTTCTTTTGCCCCACTCTTGATGGACAAGTGTTCACAATCGACTCCCTGCTTGCGCGTTTCAACTTTGCGTTTCCTTTCTGCCAGCCGCTTCATCTCTCTACATTCCTCCGATTCATCTTCTCCCTTTTACATCCCCCTCTCTCAAATGGTCCTTTGTATCAATTCAGCAGGGGGTACAGACATGCAGTTTGACTCGCGGTTCCCTTAGACCTTCCGACCCATTAACCCATCCCTCTGACCCTCTCCCCCCCCCCCTTAGTGCCCCTCTACCCCTCCAGCGTGTGGAGGATGTCCCCTAGGTGCAGCGGCCAGGGGTCCGCTGCCATCTGGGGGTGCGCTGCCTCGGTCCTAGCCCTGGCCTTGGTGTGCAGGGCGTTCGCCTGGGAGCGCTGGAGGGCCACCGACCAGCGCTGGCTGAAGTGGCAGGCCATCTTCTTGGCGGATTTCGCCAAGGGGTTGGCCCTGAAGCGGTTCCTAGCTGCTGCTGTGGCCAGCATCAGGAACGCCGTCGTGGGGGGCGCGTTTGCTTCGTAGGCCTCGCCGGCCAGGGCGCAGAACACCACGTGTTCTGTGTGCCGGTAGTAATCCCTTTCCTTCCGCTTCTGAGCCTCCCTTGCAGCCCAGCCTGGGGGGTTGCGGGCTGTGGGGTCTCAGTTCTGTAGCACAGGGTCAGTGATAGTCGTGTCTGTGATCCAGGTCTCTCCACTGTCTGGGTCGCGTACAATCACGTCGGCCTTCTTCGGGTCATCTGGCGGTGAGTACATTGCATTCTCCAGGTATACCACCAGCTGCGCCTCCCTCGCCATTTTAGCCACGGCGAAGGCCAGCTGGTTGTGTGTGCGCGTTCTGTCGGGGCCTGTGCTGCAGCGGAGTAGGTGGTTGGGTAGGCTGCAGTCGGCCACGAGCTCTCCCCCTCTCTCCCTCTCTCCCTCTCTCCGCCTTCTCCTCGCTCCTCCCTCTATGAACTGTATCATACGTGCTCCCCTGTGCAAACCCCTGTACCCTCTGGCCGCTCCGCCAATCAGAGCGACGACTGTTCCGAGGTGTGGGAGGGCGAGCGGTGGCTGGATGTTCGCAGCAACGTGGTGCGGAGTGTACTGGAGAAGCGTGTAAAGGTACAGAGCAGAGTGTACTGTATGGAACGTACTGTGCGCACACAACACCAATGCATGGTTTGTTTTGTTCTTCCAGGGCTCCAACTCTTTCCTCGTTTTATCTTGAATCGGCCGCCGGGTGCATAGAAGCTGCCGCATTCCCATCCGCGCATCTACTTCCCACTGCCTCTCTCATCATGTCTCACTGACTCTGTCTTTTGCATTGCCCTCCATCCAAAGCGCCTGCTTCATGTAAGCAACAGGGGCGACAATAAGAATTCCGAAGCACAAGGAGTGTGACGCCATGTGTGCCATGCTGAAAACAACCGGGGTGCGTTGCATGTTGCAATGCAACAAGCCTGGCAGACGAGACTTCCAAGGTTGCAGCACCACCATTCTGGTCCACATCATTGCTGCCTGTCACCGCCGTTTCTCCCTTCCTCTCCCCCCCCTCCCACCACCCCGCACCCACTCACTTTGATATGTGCCCGCAGCTGGCAAAGCGCAAGGGGTGTGATGGCATAGAGCCGGACAACTTGGACGCGTGGAGCAACAACATCATGTACAAGACCATCAGCCGCTTTAAGATCACCGCTGCTGACCAGGCCAACTTCAACCTCTGGATCGCCCGCACCGTGCACAAGTATGTGTGTGTGCCCGCACGCCCACTCACACTTGACTAGTCACGCTGCTCTCCATCTCGAACCCATTCATTCTGCCCCACCGCATCACACCGCTTCATACCACCTCACCCCCACCTGCCACCCTCACCCGCCACACCTACCCCACCTGCCACCCCCACCCATCTACTCTCGCAGGTACGGCATGTCAGTGGGCCTCAAGAACCCTGGCTCCCTGCTGCCCTCCCAGATGGCAGCTGCGTTTGACTGGGCGCTGGTGGAGCAGTGCAACGAGTACAGCGTGTGGGGCGGCGGCGGCGCGTGGTACAGCGGGAGGTACGTACGGCTGCGACTACCACGCAAACAAGCTCATTGTGCACTGCAAGGCCGTTGCTGCTGAGTGCACGGATGCACCGGATCCCACCGCTTTACATCGCATCCCGCCAATTTATACCGTCTGCAACCCCTGCCCCATCCGCTCTGGCAGGTACGGCTGCGACTACGCGAACGAGTTCATTGTGCGCAGCAAGGCTGTGTTCATCGCCGAGTATATGGACTCCTGGGGGACAGCCGTGGGGCGCAAGAATGGGATTCAGTTCCCCCAGGTGTGTGTGGTGTGGTGCTGTTTGTGGCGGTATGAGTGGGTGGGCTGGTTGGCGGAGAGGGGGTGGTGGTTTCTGTGGTGTGGAGTGCAGTGCCTGGAGATCTGCTGGCCAAAGGGGTGGCGTTTTGGGGGAGGAGGAAGATTTGGTTGCCTCGGCTCACATGCACACACCGGCTCACATGCACACACCGGCTCACATGCACACGCCGGCTCACATGCACACGCCGGCTCACATGCACACGCCGGCTCACATGCACACACCGGCTCACATGCACACCCCGGCTCACATGCACACACCGGCTCACATGCACACGCCGGCTCACATGCACCCACCGGCTCACATGCACACACCGGCTCACATGCACACACCGGCTCACATGCACACACCGGCTCACATGCACACACCGGCTCACATGCACACACCGGCTCACATGCACACACCGGCTCACATCCACACACCGGCTCACATGCACACACCGGCTCACATGCACACGCCGGCTCACATGCACACGCCGGCTCACATGCACACGCCGGCTCACATGCACACCCCGGCTCACATGCACGCGCCGGCTCACATGCACCCACCGGCTCACATGCACACACCGGCTCACATGCACACGCCGGCTCACATGCACACACCGGCTCACATGCACACACCGGCTCACATGCACACACACTCGCATGCACACACACTTGCATGCACACACACTCGCATGCACACACACTCACATGCACACACACTCACATGCACACACACACACATGCATACCCGCTCACCCGCACACCCACTCTAAACTCACATGCACACCCACTCAAATGCATGCCAACTCACCTCTTTCTCTTCTAATGCTTCCCTTGCTACTGCTTTCCCTGCTACTTGTGTCCCTTCTCCTTCTCCCCCTGTCAAGGCCCTGTGCGCTGACAACAATGCACACTGCTTCACAATACGACGCGCCTCTACAACTTTCACCCCTCACAACACAAGGACCTCGAGCCGGGCTACGCTACGCCTCCTCCACTCACATCTCGTTCCCTTGCTACTGCTTCTCTTGCTACTGCTCCCCCCTCCCGCCAAGCCATGTGTGCGGACAACAATGCACACGGCTTCACAACGCGCCTCTACAACATGGACCTTGAGCCGGGTTACCGTTACCCCTTCGCTGACTGCCTGCGCCACAAGCCTGCCGGGTGCAACTCGGTGTGGCAGCAGTGCGTGCAACCCTCTGTATCAATCGTTCATGCGCAGCGGGATGAAGCGGTGGGATGCGGTGGGGCAGTGCATGCGCAGCAAGGTGGGACAGTGCGCGTACAAATGAGGAGTGGAGATGAAGCTTCAAAGCATTGGCTCGGAAGGTGTGGTGCGTGGCATGTGGCGCATAGCATTCATGTCATGGCACAGGGCACATGTTGCTTGCCATGTATTGAAAGTAGGGGCGGCTTGTGGGAGTATTGTGTGTGCACCCTAAGCTCTCAATATCTTGTGCGCCAACTGACAAATGTCCGTCGACAACAGGGCCCCATAAAATAGCTCTTAAAGCAAGCGAACGAAGTACAATAATCTCACATTCTCTCACAGGGTTGCGTTGTGACAGTCACAACACATCTGTCATTTTCTTAGGGAGGAGGGGGAGGGGGAGGGGGGAGGGGGGGAGAGGGGGGATCCATCCGAAGTTCCCCCACGATAAGGAGCGCCGCTGTGAGGAGGGCGGTGGTGTAATTACTAGGTAGGCTGGTAGCAGCTTCCAGGAATAGGTTGTTAATACAAAATGTTACCTATGTAAGATAAGTTATTCACTAAGCCTGCACTGTTAAGCGTGGAAGCTGTCTAACGGGAACACAGCGTGTAACAAACGAATCAAAATTTGAGCCTGCGATCCTCGCTCAGCAGACGATTCGTTACACATTCGTTTGAAACTCGGTTGGCTCGATTTCGCGGCGTCGCCAAATTCGCTCCGCTAGAAGCCAGGCTCCCCAAGTGGCTTGGAATTGTAATCGGTGGGTGCTTAGCAACTGTACGAGCAAACCGCCGCGCGGTCGGTGTGGGTACTGACTGACAGTGTGCATGGTGGCGGATAGATGGTGGGATGGAGGAGAGCTGGCTGGTCCCAGAGGAAGGAGCTGTGGTTAGGTGGTGCTACGGTGGCATGACAATGCCAGGGCACCACCACAGCACAAGCCAGCGAGTCTTCGATTCTCGCTCAACTCTCTTGCGTCGGAGAATCCTAAGCTCGTGCTCCGCCTCCCCTCAATGCCCCGCCTCCCGTTCCCGCGCCTCCAGAAACATGCGTGCCGACACTAGTCGCTAGAATGCGACGACGATCAGGACAACGAACGAGAGTTGCGTCGCTTAGCGACGGTGGCTGATAAGCCGACCCACTAGCCCTCAGCGCACCAACTCACTCACCGTCTCGACTCGCAACTTGCGAGCACGCACACTGCATGCAGTCTCCTCGTTTCAGCCGTGCGAGTCGCCAGAAATGGACAACCCTTTGTCGCGTACTCACCGCTTGCCTCGACGCCATCGCGTCGACGCGTCACCGTCCGCGCATCCGTCGCCCGCTGCGGACTTGATAGACGTTGGAGACCCGCCGCTCGCGCAGGGCAACACAGAGTAATGAGCGTTCCGAGGGCTATAAAGATCCATGGCCCGCCCTCCCATGGACATCCCATCGCATCCCAGTGCTTGTAGCCTTACCAATCGATCCCATCGGCAATTGGGCAACTCGCAGATCGTTTTGAGAGAGCATTGAGTTGAAATCAGCGGCTTTTGAAGGTTGAGTGGATCATGGCGACGACGAAGATCCTTGCGCTCCTCATTCTCGTTCTCCTCGCCACCTCATGTGAGCTCGCTCCCACTCCTCTTTCTCTCCGCCTTTTGCTCCGCCGTTTGAGTCCCGCTGGTTGTAATATGCTCTCTTCTACGGGTTCATTTGTTTTCTGAAGCGGTTCTTAGTAAACCAGCGTGCTTTCGTGTGCACGTGCAGGTGCCTTTGCTGCTCCTGGTAACGGCAAGGGGAAAGGCGGAAACGGAAAGGGAGGCGGCAAGGGCAATGGCGGCGGAAAAGGCAACGGGAAGGGCGGAAGCGGAAAGGGCGGCGGAATTCTTGGAATGCTGACTGGCGGAAACTCGACGGGCGGATGGGGCGCGGGCGGCATATTCTCGGGCCTCACGTCGCTCTTTGGCAACGGCAGCGCTCCGAGCGACCTGGGTGGCATCTTTGGGCGCAAGGGCGGGAACGGGAAGGGCAAGGGGAATGGCGGAGGCGAGGGGGACGGCTCGGAGAGTGTTGGCCCTGCAGGCGCGAGTGAGGCAGTGATTGGGACGATGGGGGTCGGCAACGGCAAGGGGCAGGGGCAGGGTAAGGGAAAGGGGAATGGCGGAGGTAAGGGGAAGGGGAAGGGCAAGGGCAAGGGGAATGGCGGAGGTAAGGGGAAGGGGAATGGAAAGGGCAAAGGGAACGGGCAGGGGAACGGGCAGGGGAGCGGGCAGGGGAACAGTACAGACAGTGGTAGCCCTGCAGGCGTGGCGAAAACTGCCAGCTCGCGTGTGATGGGGATGATGGGGGTCGGCAACGGCAAGGGGCAGGGCAACGGTCAGGGACAGGGGAATGGGAACGGGAATGGGAGAGGGCTCGGGTGGGGTAAGCGCGGGAAGAGCGCGGGTGGCGTGTTGGCGCAGCTGAGGGGCAGCAGTGTGGCGGCTGATGCGCTGACAGCCCCTGGCGATGCCAACGCCACCGGCGTGCTCGAAATCACCCTCCTCCAGTGAGTCCTCCGCCGCTGTTGCTCACTTGATGAATCCCAATTAACGCCCTGTTTTGCGAGGGCCATCCCTGTTTGCCACGCTCCATCCATCTCATTCCCCTTCATTTCTGGGTGTGGGCAGGAACGGCACGGACTACGACGTGGCCTTCACGGCGCGCATCTCCCTCTCGACTGACGCTGCGCCCACGGCGCTCACTCTCAACAGCGGTACTGCCGCAACGACCGGCGCGGCTCTGCTGGACTTTTCCACGGCCACGGGCACTGACGGCGCATCCCCCCCTGCGTGGACCAGCGCCGCCTCGCCCTCCCCTGGCAGCGGCCCCATGGGGCGCGCATGGGGCCGCCTGCAGCGTGCAGTGGGGCGCTCTGCGCGCCTGGCAGGGCTGCACACATTCACTCTCACAGGCGTGTGGCGCGCTGCCGCCACCGTGGCTGCTGAGGACGGCGTGCAGACGGTGAAGGACGTGGCGCTGGCGCTTGTGATGCAGCCCCGCACCTTCTATGCTCTCGTGGCTTCCCCGGGGTTTGAGGCCGGCGCTGCTAGGGGTCAGTTCCAGAAGGCGCCGGGCTTAGGAACTGAAGTGTGAAGGGATGGCCTGGAGTGTGAAGGGTCTCCAGGTGGTGGGCAGGGCGCTACCGAGATGGAAATGATTCCACCTTCATTGAGCCTCCTACAGAGTCTGTTGTTAGAGGGCCTACTCCTGACATGAGGATGGGGATGTGTGGCTGTCTAGCAGCTACAGCCCTTTCCTTCATTCACAACAGCTAGGAACATGAGGGCAGGCTCTAGAACAACAGGTCTTCAGTTGTCATGTTTCACTCGTTGCATTTACTTGAATGTTACAGTTCGAATGACAATCTTAAAACAACAATGTCACAATTCTAAGCAGCAATTGAATGGAAGCACTTGGGCGCAGGCCCTCAGATTCACTTTTAGGGACGTTGATGCATCAGGGTCCCTGTGAAAAAATGCCTGATTTTTCAGGGTTCCAAAAAAAAAAAACCTGAATTTTCAGGGTTCCTGAAAACAAAAGCCTGAAATATGCTAAAATGGACTCGAACCTCAGACCATTTCATTCCGAATAAATTTCGCTACCCACCGAGACATTTCACCCGTGTATGTTATTCATATATATATTCAAAGTAAAAATGTTGGTCTCTCGGTGTTTTACAGGAAGGATTCGGAATGTGCATTCAGTGTACACTTCGATAAAAGTCTGAAACATCAGTGTTAGCTATGACGTAAAGGCTGAAAAAATTAGTGTCCCAAAAATCTCAACACTGAAAAATCAGGGGAGGTACACAAAACTAGGCTGAAAATCAGGAATTTCAGGGGAAAATTCCTGATATCGTAGGGCCTGCTTGGGCGACTGCCAAAACTTCCTACCCCATTGAATAGTTGGAAATGATATTGATTGTGCTTGCATCCTGATCATAGATCGAGTACCATCCAGGTGTTTCGTGTGGGGGATCCCCAAGTCGACGTGGGCCACTGTCTGAGGGACGAGCTTGGCCTGACCAAGCCCATGGTGCAATCCCCGCGAAACCACCTTGTTTTGCATGAACAGTTGCATAAATGTGGTCAAAATAATCATCCCTGAACGTTGTAGCTGCTTCCGGACTGTATCTGTTTGTGGAGCTTGGCGTAGTCCACTCCTGTTTCTCCCATCCATCTCTGAATTGCAGCAAACAATGGATCAAGGATGAGCTCATTCACTGAGGAAGCCGAATGAGGTGTTAGCTTACCTCGCAAGTCCAAACTCCTCTAGGATGAGTGGCTTTCTTAATCTGTGCATGTAGCCAGCATGCCTTTCCAAGAACTCGGTTGCGTAGTCCTTGGCTGCAATGAGATTAGCAGCACTTCCATTGTATGGCTGGTATATTCCCCAGTTCTCAACCTGCAGAGGTTCTCATTCCAGACGATCCAACAATGAAACAAATGTTTGCAAACATAGTCATTACTTACCCAAAGATGCACCGTTGCAAAATCCAGGTATGGACTAAAATGTGTGCGGATGAATGCTTTGCCACTGTCATTGCCTTTCCCTTCTAAGCCACTTGTGAGCAGATGATTCTGATCGAGTGACTTGATGTAGTGACCTATAACAGAAAAGAGGGTGAACTGTGTGATCAGACCTTCACAAATATGAAATGAAGCTTACCCATTCTGTCAATCCACCAGCGAGGTGGGTCTTGAGGCTCGTTTGTGATCTCCCACGAAAATATCGTGTTGTCTTCACTATAAACGAGACCGTTGATGTGATTCACCCTCTGAATGATGGTCTTGGTGTGCTTTTCTAACATAGACTGAGCTGACTTCATGATGCTTTTGTCACAGTACAGCCGAGAAGCGTATTCAATATATTCTTGCCAGCTTCCAGTGAAGACAGGAAACGACGGAGGATAAGGGATGTTCTGCATCAAGCATTGCAAAGAAAGTCGCAAGAGGAGCGATTGGGTCAGGGAAAGTTGAAGACGGCTGACGAAACTGAGAGGGGAGTAGGACTAACCAGTGATGGATCTGCCCAGAAAACGTATTGAGCGAATCCTCCAGAGTCTTGCCAAAAGTCACTGAGAGAAACAATGGCTTTCATATTTCGTTCCTTTAAGGAATGAAGAAGATAGTCGAGTCCTTTAAACACTGACTCGTCGTGCTTAAAAGGCCTGAAATGTCACTAACTTCACATGAGATTGCCTTCCAGAGAAAGAGACAGAGAACCGCTTACAACACTGACTCAGGAAAAAGCGCTGGTTTCCACCGATACGGCTCAGAGTTTGGTCCCAGACTGGAGCCAAGGATTCTTATGCCATTCAAACCCATGCTGGCTAATGTGTCGAGTTCATAGTGCAACCTGCTTCTGTTTCCTCCCGATTCTTCGGGCATTGCCAGCCAAACGGCTTCCCAAAAATTAATGCCTGCAAAAGTTTCAGGTAGTCGAGAAATGTTCAAGGGATGGGAATTGCCGACTAATATGGTACTCACCTTTGAAGTGATAAGACTTATTGTCAAACACAAAGCCAGTTGAGTTCGTAGAGACTTTAACGTAATGACTGGCGCCTACGAGCATGACACTCATCACTAGAAGAAACGCAACTGCGCAAAATGACTGGACCCTCGGCTTGCATGCTTGGAAGTGAACGGCCATTCTGAATGTCAGTGATGTTGGCGCGGGAAAATGTGATAGTTCGGTACTTCCTTCGATTGATGTAGGACAGGGAGAGTGCGAGTGTGGTGAAGCAATCTGCGAGTGGGGCAACGCTCGAGCATGGGTGGGGAATGCACGATCATGTGCTTGGGATTCTCAATTTTGTGATAAAAATGTGCTATACACCTACAATAAGCACATCTGTACATTGTATACTTGGTACCATATTGCAATGAAGTAGAACCCCCAAAAAATGGAAGCACCACACAAGCAATGCTTCCTTTGCAACTTCCTTCCTAGTATACATTGTCACCAAGGGTCCCGTCTCCACCAGGGTGATCTGTCCAGACAGTGCGACATAGAAAAGGACGGAAAAGGCAAATTTTCAGACTGATAGAGCAGGGAAACAAGGTAGGCTCAAACAAGCTCCTCACAATTGAAACGAAAGCGTGGCGTCATTTTCCCTAACTTCCCTGTAACTTACAAGTACATCTCTTCACGATGGAGTCCATATGATGGATCGATACGCTCGTGAAACACATGCATGCCACGCCACATTGCACTGCCACCACCGCCACCGCCGCCGCCGCCACCACCACCAACATTGCTGCTGCTTTCTCTGTTCCTGCCTCTGCTGCTATCTTGCCTCCCTGTGTTTGCTGTACTGTGTGAGGGCTTCCAGGAAGCAGGTACCTGTCTAAGCGATGACAATGGCTTATGAGAGATGGGGGCCCTACTGGCACCCATTGCTGTGATGCTAAGATTCGCAATGCTCATACTGTTGACAGGCATGTGCAGCGGCAGATTTAGCACCTTCTCCCCCACCCTCACCTCCTCCCATGCACACTCCTCCTGCTTACCACTAACCTCCCTGTTTCTCTCCTCCGTACCCTCCCCATCTCCTCCTCTCTCCTCGTCAATGCGCTCATCGTCACTCTCTTCCGTTTCCTTCCCACCCTCCCCAACCCCATCCCACTCCTCGTCACTCCGTCCCTCATCCAGCCATCCGCTCCTCACATCCCATTGCCACGTCTCAGCAGCAGCAGGCACCCACACGTGCAGGGAGCGCATGAGAGGGCAGTGCAGAAGCAGGGCGTGCAGGGATGCACGAGAGCAGGGCGCACCCAGCAAGCAGCAGAAGAAACCCAAAAGGCCCGTACCCACTGGCAACGGGAGCAGGCTGGGCTCGGATGAAGAATCGATCTCAGACAAAGAGAAGAGAGCAGGAGGATTGTAAGGAGGAAGCGGGTGATGCAGATCATTCAATGTATCACCCATTCGTCCCTGGGTCATGGGCACGTCTTGTCCTCCTCCTGCTGCTGTTGCTCCTGCTGCAAACACACCACGCAAACCGCTACCGAAACTAGCCGCAGTACTGCTGTTGCCAGCGGTGGTGGCTCCAGTGAGACTCAACGGCTGCTGCCTGTGCAGCGCGGAGAGGGCGAAGGGCGGAGTGGGATGGTGGTGCTGGCGGCGGGAGGATATGCACTTGACTGCCATGCTCCTGAGGCTATCCCACGTGCCGCACTCCAGCTGCCCTATCACCCGCCGTGCAACCAGAATCTCCACTGTGCCTGCTACACGAGCCAGCCAACTGCAAGGGGGGGGGATGGGATGGTGCTCGAGTGTGGAGGCCACTGGATTGGTGTGAGACGACGATAAGTGTGCGTCTCCAACGCCGTTGTAAAACTCGCTACTGATGCTGCTGCTGTAGGTGGGGCTGATACGGATGCTATGGCCGCTGGGAAAGTGTGGGCTGCTGTCTCGAATGCCTTCTTCCGCGTCGCTTCTCATCTCTGGCAACAGCCACTGCCCTCCAACCCGCACCCGACCTGCTACGACAGGTGAAAATCCAGGCAAAACGCCAGAAAGGTTGTCAGGTGCGCCGTGTACAGACCCAAGTGCTGCGATCCCAGCATAACCACCTGGTAGTACCCGTGTGGGCTGGCGCAGTAGCAGGGCGTTGGGCTCGACGAGGAGGTAGAGATGACGCACAGAGAGAAGGTGAGGGAGTGAGAGGTCGATGCAGCCAGCCACCAAGGAGTGGAGATGCGGTGTGTTGAGAACGGTCACGGGACACCCACCCCCGACAATGGAGAGAGTCGAGAGACGGGGCGAGGCGAGGAGGAGGAAGGAGAGGCGTGAGGCTGCGGTGAAGTGGAAGCGGATGGTGTGGGCAAGAGGGAGGTGGAGGGTGATGGAGAGATGGTGTGGGAAGGTGGGAGAGAGGGAGGAGAACGATGAGTTGAACGAGGAGGTGAGGGAGGAGGAAAACGAGGAGGAGGAGGAAGGGGAGTGGGGAGGCGAGGATGAAGAGAGGGGGATTGGAAGGGAGCATTGCTCCATGGCATGGGTGAGAGAGAGGCAGGTGAGCTGAGGAGAGAGGCGGTGGAGGAGGGAGAAGAGAGGCCAGTCATACCGCACGTTGGAGAGGTGGAGGGACGTGAGGCAGGGGAAGAAAGGAGGAGGCGGAAGAGGAGAGGAGTGGTGTGACAGAGACGGTGGGGTGGGGCAAGAGAAGGGGGTATCGGGCATGCGAGGTGGGTGTGAAGTTGGCATGTGCAGGCCGGGCACATGCCATGTCCAGGCACTGCCTTCCAGGGACATATGGCGCAGACACGGGTATGCTCCCAGCCATGCCATCATACCCCAACTCACTCCCTGCTCCTCCTCCTCCGTCTGCTCCTGCTCCCCTTCCACCTCCTTTTCTTCCTCCAAGACTCTACCAACTCCTTGGACCAGCTCCTGCTCTCCTCCCTCACCCCCCGCCCACCTTGTCCTCTCCACCCTTCCTAACACTCCTCCTCTTTCGCCCCTCCCCCCTCTGCCATCCCTCAATTCTGCAGGAGACGGGGAGTATGTGGGACTGAGGGCATTCGGTGGAGGAGAGGGAGAGGGAGTGGGGAAACGCGGGGAGGAGGTACGGGGAAGGGGGGGAGACGGAGCAGATGAGCAAGAGAGGTGGAGCGAGGAGAGGGAGAGGACCGAGGGGGCTAGGGCGCGCTGCAAGTGGCAGGGAAGGAAGAGGGGCGGGGAAGGGAAGTGCAGGGAGAGGGAGGTGAGGGAGGGGGTATGAGAGAGGAACCAGAAGAGGGAGGAGAGACGGTTGGGCGGGATGATGAGGCGGAGAGACGGCGTCTGCACTGCGTGTTGCAGCAGCCGCTTACTAGCCATGGCACACACCACCATGGGCCAATCACACCCTTCAACGCCTCCGATGCTCTCACGCCCCCGCTGCCCCCCTTCACCTCTCTCCTCCCTGCTCGCGTTGCCCCCTTCTCCCCCACAACCATCACTGCCACCCTCTTGCCAGTCATGTTGTCCTCTCATCCGCCGCCCCCCCCCTCCACAACCACACTCGCCCTCGGTAGTATCAGCCCACCTGCGCCCACAGCCACAGCAGCAGGTATCGCTAGCATCCTGGGCCGCAACAGCAGCAGGGGCCGAACAGTCAGCATCACCACCGATAGCTACATCACCATCAACCCCATGCCTATGACTACGACTATGACTATCCCCACGCGCATGCCCATGGCCAGGCGTTTTCCGAGTGGAATCCGAGCACAGTTGCGTGTTCTCAAGGACGACATGGCCATGGCCATTATTCGGGGCCCTCTTGCCGTCCCTCCCCGAACAGCCCTGCCACGGATGATCATCACCCACGCTGCCGGCATCTCTTCTCTGTGTGCTCTCGCTCTGGCCGTGACAGGCGGGTTCAAGGGGCGGGATGGCGTGAGCGGACGGAGAGGCGTGGGCGGCGTGAGGGGCGTCGGGGGAGTGAGCATGGCGATGAGTGGGGTGAGGAGCGGGCAGGCTGGCCCTGCGGAAGATATGGAGCCACACGGAGGAGGGGAGAGAGTCGATAAAATCGCAGTAGATGGAATCGCACGAGAACAAAGAGCCATTGCCACGTTGTTCCTCCGCCACCTCCCCATGCACCGCCTTTGACGTGCGCGCTTCACCCCTTCCAACGCTCCCTTCGCCTTCCTTTCTTCTTCTTGCATCCCCTGCCGCTCCTGCCTCTCCTGCCACTCCTGCCGCTCCTGCATCTCCTGCTTCTGCTTCCCCTGCTGCTGCTGCTGCACCTGCTCCCGCCGCTTCCCACCGTCCTTCCCCTCGAGCCTTCCCCTTGTACATTAGGCTCTCGCCTCCTCCGCGCTCTCTGTCACACCAATCCCCAGTTTCCCCGTCACCGTGCGTCCTCCCAACGCCTCTCTCCTCGTTCTCGTGATCCCCCTCGCGCATCCAATCGCCTGTCATGGCACCCACCACAAGAACAGGCTCTCAGAAACCTAACCCTGACCCTGGTCCTGATCCTGAGCACAGAGCATTAACGTCGACTTCCGCCGTAACTTCCCTTTGCCAACCTTTGCGGTTGCGTCGTGCTTATTCTACGGGGAAAAACAAGGCTCGACACGTCAGCCTACTCCTTACACTCTCGAATTTAGCATCCCAAGAACAGTAAAACCACACGCACGAACGGTTTCGTCTCTACTCTACCCACATGCTTGCCCTTTTCCAACACCTTAACAGATCGGTGAGTTTTCCGCATGAGCCGCCAGTCGGTCTAAGGACGCGTCACCTCCCTCGATCGATCGTGCAAAATCGAGGAAGATCGATCATCCACCGCACTAAAATCCCGCGTATTGCATTTTTTTTTTTTTTGAAAACTTTTTGAACCGAATCAAAAGTCGATCCTGAGCAGGATCGATCGAGGCAGGTGACGCGTCCTAATCCATAAAAGCGCGCCTACGAAAACAATTGCGTGAGAGACAATATGTACGTGAGAGACAATACTTGAAGAGCAAGAAACAGACTTCGACACACCATTCAATGGGGTGAGGGGGGGGGGGGTGCCTAGCTGGATAGGAACACATCACCAATAATGACTGCTGTTGAGTTGAGTTGATGGAAATCTGCCTGGGGCAATGCACCACGAAGCGACAATCACACATAGGCCCTGTTCGGTAGCCCTCCCAGTCACACTGCGGTTGGTGCATAAGATCTTCCTCGGCCCAATTTCAACTTACCTTAAAGCCCACTAAGTCGTTATTAGAACACCATACCTGCCCAGTGCGAATTGGCTACCGAACGCGTAAAAAACCCAGTCCGAGTGAAGTTGAGGACGCTACCACGAAAATGCTTGCTCAGGCAAGCTCGACCGTCAGTGAAAGTCAATCCCATTTCTGCTTTCCAGTTCCACTCAGGCAGGCCCGCTCTGAGTGGCATGCTGTAGGGTAAACGCTGCATTAGTTTCGAATCGGGTCAAAATATGTCTTTCAGCCCGCTCGTTCAAACGATGAGAGATCGTGCCCGTTCGTGATTTTCTTTTATCCATATCGAGGGTTTTCCATTTGGCGGGCTGTTTTTTGTTTGTGAGCTGGGCAGCCTCGTACAGCAGTAAAAGTTTCGACAAGTAATTTTTCGAGAAACACACGGTAACTTCTTGCAATTTTGGACGAGATTTCCTCTCAGTGTGAGTGGACGCCCGAGGCTACGAAACATGTTGTAGGCTTCCCCAGTTCGAGTGGGCCCAGTGTGACTGGAAGGCTACCGAACAGGGCCATAGCATCTGGAGCGGATCGGATCGGACGAACATCACGAGAATTCGCCGTGGTTTTCGCCATTATATCCAAAAACCACGGGATAACAACTGGATCAGGAAGGTGGGTCTCGCCTTCCTGATCCCGTCAGTTAGAGTTCGTTAACCTCCGTCAGCTTGGTCAGCCCGTGAAAAAAAAGTGCCGAGCCTCACCTACCGTCCAAACCAACAAACAAAGTGGGCGTCTGGCGAACGCCCACTTTTCTCCACCAAATCAAACAGTTCGACGGCATCTGGAAGCGGGGACGAGACTTCGTCACCAGGCAAAATGCCATCCCCTAGCCATGCCATCGTCATGCCGCGTTTTTCAAAGCACAGCAGTGGCACAGCCGACGCATTGCTGTTCAGAGGGGAACCCTTGAACAAGCCTGCAGTTTAACAAAGGGGGGTTCGTATACCCCCCATTTTTCTCTCCCAAACACACCTTCGAAATGCCCCCCGCGCATAACTTGGTAGAAATCGATCGCACAATCGCGACATTCATAGGCTTCACAATCGTGTCAGAACTTATATTTGTAACTGCCTGTAGCTGTAGTTAGTGTAGTTATTATAAACTTTGTTTGGTGGTGCACCTTATTTGTTTCCTTTGCTATATGTTCTTCGAAACCTATAGTGAAACCATCCTTTCCAACTTTCTCGACACCTTTCCCTTGGCACAACTCACTCGACATCCTCCTTGGGCCTAGGCTCCTAAGCCTAGGCCCTAGTTAAACCTAGCATCTAACTCCATCCTCGTTCTCCTTTTATCATGCTATCAGAGCGTTTTACGTCCTGGCCTGTGGGCCCGCCAATATGCTTCCGCTGCTATTTTTCTCGGTCGCGCGCCTAGGGCGCGTGGCGATTTTCTCTTGTCCCGCCCCCGGTTGGCGAGTGACTCCTTCTCTGCCCGTCGCGCGCCCCGTGGCACGCGACGGTGCCCTAAACCTGCCCGTCGTGCGCCCCGTGGCACGCGACGGTGCCCTGCTCGTCGTGCGCCCCGAGGCACACGACCGGGCCCTAAACTTAAACTTGCCCGTCGTGCGCCCCGTGGCACGCGACGGGCCCTCTCCGCACCTGCTCTCCCTGCAGCCGCCCCTGACCTACCTGCGCCGACACAATGTAGCCGCTCTGCGGCTTTCTTCCCGCCCACCCCCTCCTCCTTTGTTTCCCTGCAGCCGTGGGGAGGAGGGTATGGGGGTGGCGGGTGTTGGAGCTTTGGGTCGTTTCCTTCCCTTCCCCTCCTCCTCCTTTCGTTCCCACTGCTGCAGCTGCCGCTGGGGGGGAGGGTGTGAGGGTGTGGGGGAGAAGGGGGAGTGGCACCGGGGTGGCGGGTGTGAGGCAACCAGCAGCCGTCCCTCCACCTCTCCTCTCTTCCCCCCCCTCTCTGCTGCTCCTGCAGCAGTGTGGGGGAGGGGAAGGAGGAGGGTGAGGAGATGGAGGGGGTGACCAGCTAGTGTTAGCCCGCCTGCAGTACCTGCTGTTGCTTGTTTATTATTTTGCATGTGTACCCCTGCAGGTTGTATTCTGCACAAACTCCTGATGCAGGCAGTTATGGGGGAGTGTCAGAACTTATATTTGTAACTGCCTGTAGCTGTAGTTAGTGTAGTTATTATAAACTTTGTTTGGTGGTGCACCTTATTTGTTTCCTTTGCTATATGTTCTTCGAAACCTATAGTGAAACCATCCTTTCCAACTTTCTCGACACCTTTCCCTTGGCACAACTCACTCGACATCCTCCTTGGGCCTAGGCTCCTAAGCCTAGGCCCTAGTTAAACCTAGCATCTAACTCCATCCTCGTTCTCCTTTTATCAAATCGCGTTCTTTACCCACGTTGAGCAATTTTTGGTCAATCGGGCAGCACAAGGGTCAGTGATGAGCAAATTTCGCGCCATTGGGGGGAAGGTGGGGATGGACCTTCCCGATGCGGTTGAGAAATTTCGCCTTTCGGGCGCGCGTAGTTTCTCGGGCGGCATTTCGCCCAAACCTCGGAGGAGGGTTCCGCCCCCGTTTCCATATGCGGTCGCGATGCTGATGCCATTTCTGTTGAAGAAACGATTTGCTGGCGAACAGCACCCAAATTTCGTACCCTTTCTGGAACTGATCGACACCCACCAATTTCAGCGTACTAGTTTGAGTTCCGAATTTCAAATGGTTTTGTTTTGAATCAAACTTTCGTTTCGACCCCTCCAAGATGGTTTTTGACGAATTCTGGTAACGCCCAGGGTTGATCCAACCTGGCTGCCACAAGTGCACCTCACTGAGAATCTTCTCTGCATTCGCAACCACTCAATCCTCCAGCCATGGCCGCGCTTGCTCACTGTTCCGCGCGCCTGGCTCTCCGCATTTCTTGCAGCTGGGCTGCTGATGGATCCTCCGCCGCTACCGGAGTCTCCGCGCCAACGCGCGCCAATCTTGCTCCGCGCGCGCTGGTGCAGCCCCAGCGCGCTGCTGCAGAACCGTCTGCGCAACCCGCATCACCATCCGCAGAGCCGCCCACCGTTTCGCGCCGCGCGTCGCTCGCGCTGCTCGCCAGCCTTTCCGTCTCCGCCATCGGCGGAGCGGCGGGCGGAGCGGACTGGGCGAGTTCCAGCAGCGCCTCCGCGCTGACCGGCTGGTTCCTCCCCGCGCCCGCGATCGCAGCGGAGGATTCCTCGTCGTCGCCGGCGACGTCGCAGCAGCGCATCGTGCGACTGCGCGACGTGGACGACATCGAGCTGCAGAACGCGCTGCGAGCGGCGGTCGCCGGCGATTTAGAAACCGCGGAGGGAAAATTCACCCAGCTGATCGAGCGACTGCCGGAAAGCGCTTCCATGTGGTCCAATAGGGGGTCCGTTAGAATGTCCCTGGGAAGATACGACGAAGCTGCTGAGGACTTCGCGCGCGCGATTGAGCTGGCGCCGACCGCGCCTGTGCCGCTGTTGAACCGCGGGATTGCGCTGTCGGTAAGGACGAGGGCGATGGAGAAGATTGCTTGCGGGGGTTTGCGCGGAGAAAGGGTGCAGGGGGAAGATAGGGGGTTCGTGGCTGGCTGTGCATCAATGTGCATGAACGCGCGCATGTGTGCTGTGCTCCACAGCCCCTCATCGCTTGTCTGTTCGCACATCTCTCCTGCGCTCCAAAATCCCTCCGCATGGCTTAATTTCCGTGTTCCAACAACCCCATGTCCCCATGGTCCCATGCCCCGTGTTCCCCATGTCCCCATGTCCCCATGTCCCCATGTCCCCATGTCCCCATGTCCCCATGTCCCCATGTCCCCATGGCCCCATGTCCCCGTGTTCTCCCTCCCCCACGGCGCGCCCCCTGCATCCCACCCCAAGGCGCTAGGGCGGTACAAGGAGGCGCTCAAGGACTGCCGTGCCGCCGTGAAGGTGGACCCCAAGGTTAGAGTGCAGGGGGGAAGGAGGGGGGAGGAGGGGGAAGGTGGAAAGGGGAGAATGCCTTTTGGGGCGCCTCAAAAAGGCGCTCAAGGACTGCCGTGCTACGTTGCCAAATACGCTCTGGGTAGGGTGGCGTACCACGTATATACGATTGCGTACGTACGTGGTACGCTAATACGCTTCGAATTCGTGAAAAAACGCGCGGGCAGCCCGGCGAAAAAAAAAATCGAAATTGAAAAAAAATTGCGACGGTTATTAGGGCTTCGCGACTAGTTACGCGACCAAGCACATCGCCCAACCCACGTCTGAAATTCAAATTTCCCACCACCCCAACCACACACCACCCCACCAAACCTCTCATATCCAACCACCCCTCTCAAATGTCCAGCACGTCATGTGAGCATTTACTCGTTGACGCCTTCCTATCCTTCATTCGTTTCTCTCCTCCTCAATTTCATTCCCGAGCTCTGATCTCCCGTTTTCCTCAAGCAGTTTACCGTTCCTTAGTCGCGCCCCATGGCGTCGAACTCCACCCCTCCTAGCGCGACGAGCAATGTAGCTTCTGGTCACGCGTCTAGTAGTGCGATCAACACGCAGCCTTTTGAGGCTGGCCTTTCGAACCCCATTCTGAAACATTTTCTTATTCCCCCCCACAGCAAAGGCAATCCCAAGCTTTGTAAGTTTTGTGGCTTCAAGTTTGAGGGCGGAACCACTCGCTGCGCAGTTCACCTCGCCAAATGGAAAGGGCAAGATGGACGCCCTGTCAGGCTTTGCAAGGACGTGTCCCCGAAAGTCCGTGAAGAAGTGCGTGCCATGTACGAAAACAAGGAGGAAAACAAGAGCATGAAACGAGGGGCGGCTGCTGCAGCACTCGACTCCGTGCTGGGCGCGGTCACTGCTTGTGCGGAGAAGAAGGGGAAGATAACAAAATTCTTCGGCGACGAGGCAACGTGCGCCAAGGAGGACGCGGATAACGCGCTTTGCCTAATGATCTCGGCGCTGAAGCTTCCAGAGCGCATCGTGGATGATCCGGTCTTCCGCTACGCGGTCCAGTGCTTTGCGCGCGCGGGACCGGGGTATGTTCCCCCCAAGAGGGGCTACGTTGGAGGGGCGGGCTTGAAGAAAGTGCGGCAGAAAATGGAGGCAGCGCTCGCCCCCGTTGCCGCGAGCTGGAAGCGGGACGGTGTCACCGTGTCGTCGGACATGATGACCGACCGTTGTGGCCGCCCGCAGGCCAACATACTCCTTGTCAACGACTCCGGCGCAGTTTTCGAGCAGGCCGTGGACTGCAACATGGAGTCGAAGACGGGGGGGTACATCGCCAGCCTTCTCCGCCCCGTCATTGATAAGGTGGGGCCGGAGAATGTGGTGGCGGTCTGCACCGATGGCGGCAGCAACTATGCATCGGCAGCGCGGAAGATTGCGGGCACATGGCCGCACATTGAGCATGTGCCATGTGCCACGCATGTCCTGGACCTGTTAATGGAAGATGTGGGCAAAATGGGATGGGCGAAGGGGCTTGTGGAGAAAGGAGGGGAGATGATTACCTTCGTGCGCAACCACCACTTCACCCGTGCCTATATGAAGAAAGTGGGGGGGAAGCAGGTGCTCAAGCCTGCGGGAACCAGGTTCGGGACACAATACATAGCCATGGCCCGGCTATGTGAGGTGAGGAGTGGGCTGGCGGCGATGGTGCTCAGCGACGAGTGGAAGGTGTGGGCAGCGGGGGACAAGGATAGGAAGACTGCAGCAGAGAAATTCAGGGCTGCTGTGATGGATGAGGAGTGGTGGGGGGTGGCGGAGTTCTTTTCCTCTCTCATGGCGGTGCCATTCAAGGCCATGCGGGCCACGGACTCTTCCGCGAAAGGCATGATGGGTAAGCTGTATGACATTATGCTACAGCTTACCGAGGACATCAATGACAGGCTCGACGCTTCAGGCGACTTCTTGACTCGGACAGAGAGGGCAGACATCACCAAGATTGTGAAGGACAGGTGGGACAACTCCCTTGCCTGCCCCATGCATGTGGTTGGCCGGATCCTGAATCCGGCCAACCAGGAGGAGGGAATTTTCAGGAACGATGTGGAGTGCACGAGGGTGTTCAAGGACTACATCGAGCGCCACTATGACCACGTCACCTTCAGGCGCGGCAAGGATGGTGCCCCTCGCCGCGCCTCCCTTGTGCTGCAGGAGGCATTGCTGGCCTACATCAACTTGGAGGGCAGTTTTGGCAAGCTGAGCGCCATAGTTGCAAGGGAGGCAGTGAAGAAAGGGGAGATGAGCATGGTGCAGTGGTGGTCGTGGCACAGCACCGAGTACCCTGAGCTTGCCACCCTCGCATGCCGGATTCTCACTCAGCCCGTCTCAGCTTCTTCATGCGAACGTGGCTGGGCGCAGTGGGAAGGCGTCCACACCGCCCGCCGCAACCGCCTCGGGTCCGCCAAGTGTGCGGACCTGGTTTACATTGCGCACAACTGGAACGTTGTGCGCAATTGGTACAACAAGGATGGGGCCAGCATGGTTGTGCCCGGGAACATCCCGGATGCCCCTATCCCCGGCTACAACATGGACGAGGAGGAGGATGACCTGCTGGGGGGGGAAGGAGATGATGCAGTGCTGGCGGATGAGTATGGGGAAGGGGTGGTGGTGGAAAAGCCCCGCAAGGAAATAGGCTGTGGGGAAGCTCGCTAGAGGGTGGGGATTATGTGGATGAACTATGTATTTCTGGATATTTATGAAATAAAATATTGACATGTGTTGTTGTCGGCCTGAACCCCCCCCCTGAAACAGGTTTTTTTATACCTGCCCGGGAAAAAAAGTTTTAGCTGCCCGCCAGCGTATTTTTGCGTATCAGCAGTACGCCAGCCTTGGCGTACCGCGTATATACCAAGCGTATAATACGCTAACGTATTATACTCGGTACTCGTATTTAGCAACGTAGCTGCCGTGCCGCCGTGAGGTTGACCCCAAGGTGACACGGTGAGGTTGAGGGGTGGATGGAGGGGGAATGGCGTGGGGAAGGGGGAAGAGGCGCGGGGATGGCGTTGGGAAGGGGAGGCGCGGGAAGTGGGCACGAGGGGAGGACGAGGGATGTGAGGAGCAGGGTGGATAGGATGAGGTGATGGTAGAGGAGGGGGGAACAAGGGGTGTGGTAGTGTGGAGTGGAAGAGAACAGACTGTGTGTGGGTGAAAGGGAGATGTGTCTCACGTTGCATGCTGACCACTCCAGTCCAGTCTTTGTGCCTTAATCCGCTCATCCCCACGACCCCACATCCACCATTCCCCCTCCTCCGTTCCCATCCCAACGTCCTCACCTAGACCCGTTCCCTCTACGCATGCATCCTCACCCTCGCACAACCACCCCTTTGTCTACCGCCTCCGCTCCCTGTCTCCTCCTCCTTCCCGCCTCTCTCCGTGCCCCCCTCCCCTGCCCTGACCCTATCCCGCCCTTACCGTCCCCCGCCCTGACCCCCACCAGGAGCCAGCGGCGTGGTTCAACCTGGGCATGGTGGAGAGCCGCCTAGCCCACTACGCCGCGTCCCTCGACGCCCTCAAGACCGCCGCGCTGCTCGCACCGGGCATAGCTGGTTACCGCATGGCCACTGCTGTCGTGCTCGTGCAGGTGCGTGCAGAGCGGTGCAGTGTAATGTGGTGCTGCTGTGCAGCACAGAGCCATCCTTGCTCTATTTATCCCATCGTCCCTTACTCGTCGTCACACACCGCCAGCATGTCCTTGGTTTGGTTGTCAGCTCTGCCTGCCGTGTCTCGGTGACGATGTGAAAACCACGGTGTGAGTGAGCCAGAGCCCTTGCTCTCGCCTCAAACCACCCCTTGGCGCTCCGCTAGCCACAGCTTCTCCCAGTGGGATTCATGAGGTAACCAGATCAGGTTCTCAAAGCTCTCGTGCCTGAGAACCCATTTATGCAGAGACGCATGAAACACGTTCTGAGCCATCTTGAAAAGCACCATGTTCGCCTGGAGCCATGTTGCGAATGCCTTTCCTCCCTTCAACCTTGCTCTTCCCACTGTCCCATACAATGCACATGCTGAGCAGCGCATGTTTCAGGTTCTTTCGTGTGCAAGTAACCCAACTATGCCGAGGTGCATGCAGCACGTAGTTGATTCGTCTCACAATGCACCTCCCCTCCTTGCGCCCTCCCCTCTCCATCCCATCCGCAGCTGGGGTCCACGGGGCAGGCAGAGCAGATCCTAAAGGCCCTCGTGCGCAAGTACCCCAACTATGCTGAGGCACACGCAGCGCTGGCAGCCGTGTCATGGCAGAAGGGCGAGACGGCCGCGGCGGAGGAGCAGTTCTCACGAGGCTCCGCGCTGCAGCCACAGCTGCGCAACCTGGAGTGAGAGCGAGGGGGGAGGGGGGAGGGGATTGGGGGGAGGGGGATGGGGGTGTTGAAAGGGGAAATGCAGGAGTGGCTTGGGTGGGGGGTGACGGGGAGGAGGAGCAGTTCTCGCGAGGCTCCGCGCTGCATTCACAGTTGCGCAACCTGGAGTGAGAGCAAGGAGAAGGGGGAGAGGGGATTGGTGGGACGAAGGGAGTGTTTGAAAGAGGAAGGACAGGAATGGATTGGAGATGTGAAGGGGATGTGATAAGTAGACACTAGTTTTGATAAGGTGGGGTGAATTGGGAACAGAGATTTGTGGGGAAGTGACGGTGTGTGTGTGCCGCACTATGGGCAAATGGGATGCAAAATGGAGGGGCTCGATTTTGTTTTGAGTTTTGAGTGGTGTTTACATTAGGGGATTGCGCGAGTGGTTGTGTTAGTTATAGATTATTCTTTTGACAGCGTAGTGAAGATTCTCTTTTACCAGAATGAAGGCCCTCTCTCCATTTTGCACACGCTTGTATCAAGCCTTTCCCATCTTACCATGCTCAGCCTTTGTTCCCTTGCTGCTCATCCGTGTGTGCCATGCAGATGGGTGAGCGACAACTATGACTGGACCCCACGTCTTACTGAGTCATATCGCAGGTTCCTGGCTGTTGATTGAGTTGTTACAAACAAAATCATATGAATCAAGAGTACATTCCCACCCACAACCTCGCGTTCTTCCGAATTAAGGTTAATGCCTGATCGGTTTTGGGCCACCCTTTCTAACCAGGATGCCAGGATAGGATAATACCACAGCACCTGTATTGTGGACCAACCCCTCCCTTCTCCCCTCCCCTCCTCGTGGGTCCACTAGAGACTAAGGGGGTGTGTGTAACGTGTTCTCTTTTATTTGTACACCAGCACATTCGCCAGAGGAACGACTGTGGAATCACTGTGAGGGTGGACGGTGAAACCACACTTTCTCACTGTAACACACAACCCCCCGCTTGCAAGAGAGCTTTAAAGAATTGGCAGTAGGAGTGAGTTTGGCCCTCGCGTCGCAGCATTTCCGCATGCAGGGACAAAGGATTTCTGACAGCAGTTCACAAAACGGGAATCGTTAGTAAATTATGTGTGCTGTAACCAGGAGGAGGAGCTATGTAATACTGTAGGCCATGCTTGTGAATGGTTTGAATTTGTGCTTTCAAACCAATTCAGAGTTGTAAAAATTCTTTTTGTTTCAGAAACGCGAAAGCACTGTTTCTCTATCGCTTTCTCGCTTCGCGAATCACGCTTATTTGAGACGCGAACTTACCCTTCTTCCCGCTAGTGACTTCGGTTCCACGCGTCGTCAGTCACTCGCACAGTTGCACTACCCCGGCCAAGGAAGCTCTAGTTCCTTTCACCTGAACCATCAAGCGACCACGGATCTGTTTTTTTTCTCGCGTCATGTTTTTCTTTATCTTCAGCTCCCTCCCTGAGTCGAAGCTTATCCAGTCAGCAGCGGCAATCTGCCCAAGATGCCGGTCTCCTGCGAATTTAGTGGAGATGCAGCATGTCACGCGCCTTTTTTTCATCCCCGTGTGGAGAGGAAAATCATCGGGTCCATACGTGTCGTGTCCTGACTGCTGGTTCCGCATGCCCATGGAGGACTACTCACGCATGCAAGAAAACGAAGCAGCAAGTCGGCAGCAGTACGAGCCACCGCCTCTGCCGCTTCCGCCTGAGGCGCAGTTCCCGCAGCAAGTTCCCGGAACCTTCCCATGCTGGTCGTGTCGTGCTCCGCTGCAGTCCAGTTACAGGTTTTGCCCGTTCTGTGGCGCTCCCTGCTCCGAGTAATGTTACCGAATCGGTTCTGTTGACAAGGAACGGCTTAGAGAAAAGCTTGTCCCTGTCTTTGCCGCGTGGTTGCGCCTCCCCAGCTCACACACCTTCGTGGGCTTTCCGTTCGCATCTAGGAGAGGTATTCGTAGCCATTTTACTGGTAGGTCATAAATTCCTACGCCATCCAGCCTTCTATAGGCTAGGTGGTTGTACCCCCTGTACAGATGTGTGCTTTATAATAACAAACTTTGAAAGCAGCAGCACCTGAAAGCAAAGCAACATGACGATGATGACGACTCATATAGCCAATCACACTTTTCTACAAAATGGTCAATATCACTTAATGCTGAGTTTAATAATATACAAGCACAATATGCCAAAAGAGCTTATTACTACGCCATCATAATCTCTCGACGTACTAAATGCGAGCAGGTTCCCTGCCACAATGTACACATGAGCAAGCCTGTAGTCTCACAGTGTATGGCTCGCATCTTGACAACACCAAGCCTTACTTCGAAATCGCGTCACCTGCAGAACATGCACCGACGCGGAGTGACAACCCCTAAGTATAAAGAAGAACCAAGACTTCGGAGTGTTGCTGAGCGGATGAATGGACAAAAACGACGAAGCCAGCAAACATGACGGATGGATGACTAGGCGAAACAGGCATCAATCCTCGGCACTGCATCTGTCCCTGGAGGCCTGAACATTGGAATACCCTGTGTTTGTCCCGACGCTGGCACGAAGTAGTCGTTCAGCGTTTGGTAGGACAGATCATTCGGCTCCTGACCAATGGCAGCCTCGACTTGGTCGTCGTCGTAGCCAATGCCTGTGTGTGGACCGGCAGGTTGAGTCTCAGCATCCACAGGCTCTCCGACAGCTTTTTCAAAATCAGTGGCATCTACAGCTTCGGGAAATGGTGTCCCAATAGCATCCCGGGTTCCAAACCCTCCCGCGCGGTCCAGGTCGTCTTGATAGATTGGAGCGGACATGTCGACCTCTCCGAAACTGTTCCCCACTTCTCCCGGCTTCTCTGGCTTGGACTGTGAAGCTTCGCTGTTCATGACTGGCTTGTGCAGGGCAAGATGGTTAGAGCTATTACACAATACAAAAGCCCGGAAGTATGGACGTTTCTAATATTGGGTAGTAGACCAGCTAACTAGGCTGAGTGGCTGTGGCTGGTCGGATTCGTTTGGCTGTATGTTGTTGAGGGGAGGAAGTGTGGAGATGGCAGGTGCTCCCCATTAGGGCGTGTTAAATCGCCACACAATTCCGAAAATGGGGTCTGGCCGAATTTTCGACGACCAAATGGTCGTGATATTTTTCGCGAACAACGACGAGGTGGCCGAATCAGAGTCGACTCTTTGGCAATTTAAAGCTGAAGTATACATATGTCAGAAGGGTTTCGGGTTTAGGGAGCGCCCCCCACAGGTTTGGGGCAACTTTTCAAATTTCAAAAGATTTTGAACCCCTCATTTCAAATGTATACCGCAGCTTTAACAACTTTGGTGGCCGAATTGCAGGCTGGTTCCGAAAATTTGTTAAATTTGCAGTTACTACAGTAGTTTAGTATGTGCGACGGGGTCGCACTTTTGACGGCGATATTTCTCATTTGACGCGATCATAAATTCTGTCGTTGGACGAAACCGTGCGACGTCGTATGCGTTTGTCGCACACTGTGTCGACTACTTGGCCGTTTCGGAGTCGACTCGGCGTCGTTTTCGTGTCGACTTTTTAAACGGCCATCAAATTCGTTATTTTTTTACGACATTGACGACGGTCGCCACTTGACTTGCGATGGTCGCAAACTGGTTACCTTCGCAAAAACGGCCCGACGGATTGTGGCCGAACTTTTGGAGTTTGCGATTTAACACGCCCTAAGAAAGAGGGGAGAGTCGTCGTCTCGTCAACAACGAACAAGTCAGCCGTGCGATAGATTCGCGAATGTAGGAGTGTCATCAACAACAGGTCAGCCCCGCTGCAGGCTCGTCAAGAGGGAGGGAGTGTCGTCGCTGGCAGCGCGTCAGCGAGGACCTGATAACCATCATCGTCATTAGTAGAACATTCACACGTCAGATGCCTGTCAGCAAGGAATCATGAGTGCGTGCGTGGCAAGTATTCCCACGGTGACCTCGCGAGTGACGCTGACTGCAACGAGGGCTAGAACAGACCACGTGTATTTGACAGAATCCAGTGTGGCAATGCCAGCACGGAGCTCTCCTCCAGTCACACATAGGCATCAATATAGAGAACTCTGTTACTGATTGAACTCACAACACTATGACTTAGCGTTCCCCAGTCTGTACCCCCTTTAGAGTCAGAGCAACTAGGTTACTCCTATATTCTTGTTATAACTCGGGTTTGCTCTAGGTTTAGATTACGAATCCAGGTGCATCCTGCGAGGACATGCCCGAATACAGGTGGCAACCATTGAATGTGATGCACATTTCCTCATATGATATCAGGAGTAATAAATACGATAACAAGTGACAGTTAGGCTGGCAGCACGAGCAAGGTCAGACACATCCAGGAACGCCAGGAAGAGAACGGCAGGGCAACGGGCTGCGAAACAGTGGAAAGACGAAGCTCCATTATTTGCGTACTGCGAACATGAGGAGTGCGAAAGCGGCGAGCACGACGAACACGATCAACATGTGAGGTAGACGAGACGCATGCTCCCTAGGCTCAGTCAAGGAGTCGGGGAATAACGAGGAGTATGTCAAACTTATATGCTATGATCTATCTAGGCTGTAGTGGGGTAGACACTATAGGGTACAACACTTCTAGGTTTTCCTACTTGTACCCACATGTTTCCTAGTCAACTCATTCCTCGTTATTCTCACATGGTATCAGAGCAGGTTCCCTAGTGGGACCGTTTCTTCCTAAGGGCCCACCATTAAATTTTTTTTTTCCTAACCTGCCCGAAGCGCGCCTCGCGCTCTGACCTGCCCTACCCTTTCGCGGCCCCTTAGTGGCCTGCCCTGCTCCTGAGGCCCGTCGCGACCCCCCTTTGCGGCCCCTTCGAGGCCCCTTAGCGGCCTCCCTTCGCGGCCCCTTCGCGGCCCCTTCTCGGCCCCTTAGCGGCCCCTTCGCGGCCCCTTCACGGCCCCTTCGCGACCCCTTAGCGGCCCCTTCGCGGCCCCTTCAGGGCCCCTTAGCGGCCCCTTCGCGGCCCCTTCGCGGCCCCTTCACGGCCCCTTAGCAGCCCCTTCGCAGCCCCTTCGCGGCCCATTCGCGGCCCCTTCACGGCCCCTTCGCGGCCCCTTCGCGGCCCCTTCGCGGCCCCTTCGCAGCCCCCTCGCGGCTCCCTTCGCGGCCCCTTCGCGGCCCCGCCCCGCTGCCCGTAGCGGCCCCGCCCTGTCGCCAGTCGCGGCCCCGCCCCGTCGCCAGTCGCGGCCCGGCCCCGTCGCCAGTCGCGGCCCCGCCCCGTCGCCAGTCGCGGCCCCGCCCCGTCGCCCCTGCCTCGTCGCGACGCCTCAATGGGACCCGCGCGTCGCCCCCGCCTCGTCGCGACGCCCCTGCGGGACCCGCGAGGCGCGGCTCCTGCCCGTCGCGACGCCCCTGCGGGACCCGCGTGGCGTCACCCCTGCCCGCCGCGGCGCCTTGCCCTAACCCGCGCCCTGGAGCAGCCGCCACTGCAGCAGCCGCCCCTGCAGCAGCCGCCCCTGCAGCAGCCTGTCAGAACATTGTAGCTTATGCTGTTATGTAGGCTATAGTGGGGTATCCCATAGGGGGTACAACCAATTAGGGCTTCATATTTGTACTCACTTCATTTCATAGTTCACTCATTCTCGTTCTCATTTTCACATGGAATCAGAGCAGGTCCCCTCCTAGGGACTGTTCCTTGGGCCCACCGAAGCGCGCCTCGAGTCGCGCCTGCCTTTTTTTTTTAGCGACCCGTCGAGTCGCACCTAGCGGCCCGTCGCGCCGCCCTTACGGTCGCGTCGAGCCGCCCTAGCGGCTGCGGCGCGCCGCCCTTTTCCCGGCCCGTCGCCGCCCTTACCCGCGGCTTTGCGCCGCCCTCACCGGCGGCTTCGCGCCGCCCCTACCTGCGGCTTCGCGCCGCCCAGGCCCGTCGCCGCCCTTCCCGCGTCTTCGCGCCGCCTCTACCTGCGGCTTCGAGCCGCCCCGGCCCGTCGCCGCCCTTACCTGCGGCTTCGCGCCGCCTACGGCCCGTCGCCGCCCTTTTCTGCGGCCCCGCCGCCTCTCTCGTTGCGGCCCCGCCGCCCGTCTTCGCGGCCCCGCCGCCATCTCTCGCTGCGGCCCCGCCGCCACTCACTGCGGCCCCGCCACCCGACTTCGCGGCCCCGCCGCCTCTCTCGCTGCGGCCCCGCCGCCTCTCACTGCGGCCCCGCCGCCCTACTCAGCGGCCCCGCCGCCCGACTTCGCGGCCCCGCCGCTTCTCTCGCTGCGGCCCCGCCGCCTCTCTCGCTGCGGCCCCGTCGCCTCTCACTGCGGCCCCGCCGCCCTACTCAGCGGCCCCGCCGCCCGACTTCGCGGCCCCGCCGCTTCTCTCGCTGCGGCCCCGCCGCCTCTCTCGTTGTGGCCCCGCCGCCCTTCACTGCGGCCCCGCCGCTTCTCTGCAGCGGCCCCGCCGCCCGTCTTCGCGGCCCCGCCGCCTCACTACCCAGCGGCCCCGCCGTCCTTCTTCAGCGGCCCCGCCGCCCTACGTCAGCGGCCCAGCCGAGCCGCCCAACAGCAGCGCAGCCGAGCCGCCCAGCAGCAGAGCAGCCGAGCCGCCCCGCTGCCGAGCCGCGCTGCAGCCGAGCCGCCCGGCCGCCCACCAGTCGAGCCGCCGTGCAGCCGACCGCCCAGCCGCCGAGCCGCCCAGCTGCCGAGCCGCCCAGCCGCCGAGCCGCCCAGCCGCCGAGCCGCCCAGCGGCCGAGCCGCCCTGCAGCCGAGCCACCCGAGCAGCCCTGTCCGGTGAGCACAGACCCTCTGTCACTGCGTGCTCTTCCCCTACTCCTTGCACTGCTGGTCTACTGCTGTCATGGCTACCCCTAGTGTCCTCACTTTTGACGCTGAGGGTCGAGCCATTGACTTTGAGGTCTGGGTAGATGACCTACAGCTGTTCTTACAGTGCGATAGGGCGGACGGCCTCTCTCTCTTTGACCTCACCTCTGGCGCTTCCCCTGCCCCTGCTGCTGATGCTGACGCCACTGTTCGCTCCCAGTGGGCCACGCGCGATGCTGCTGCACGTCTTGCTGTGCGTCGCCACCTCCCTACCTCCGAGCGTGCGCACTTTAGTCAGTACAAGAGTGCTCAGACCTTGTACGCCGCTGTAGTCGCGCGCTACTCCTCCCCTTCCACTGCTGCACTGAGCCGTCTCATGCTGCCGTACCTCTTCCCTGACCTTGCTTCTTTTCCCACCGTTGCTGACCTCATTACGCACCTCCGCACTAGTGACACTCGCTACCGCGCTGCACTTCCTGCTGACTTCTGCACCGCGAACCCCCCCCCCATGTACATCACTCTGTACTTCCTAGTCACTCGCCTCCCTGACTCCCTTCGAGTAGTCAGGGACCACTTTCTCTCAGTCTGTCCCACCACACTCACTGTAGACCTCCTCGAGAAGGCCCTCCTCGCGATAGAAAAGAGCATAGTCGCTGTAGGAGCCTCTCGAGGTGACCCGCGCACCCCCATCTTTGAGGGGTGTTCTCCCTCCCCCCTGCTGCCCTCTGTTGCCTCTGCTGCTTCGGCCGACCTTCTTGGTCTTGAGTCGGTCGGTGCGGCGTCTGCCCCTAACGGGAGACGCCGCCCTGGCAAGGGCAAGGGGGGCAAGGGAGCTGGAGGAGCGGGCGGTGGAGGTGGAGGTGGAGGCAGTGGGGGGAGTGGGGGTAGCGGTGGAGGTGGAGGTGGGGGTGGGGGGTTCGGTGGCGGCAGTGGAGGCGGAGGCCGCGGCGGCGGTGGCGGTGGTAGCGGAGGTGGCGGAGGAGGCGGCGGTGGAGGAGGCGGTGGAGGCGGCGGCGGCAGTGGAGGCAGCGGAGGCGG